TAATTAATCATAAGTTGATCAGTCATAAATAAAAAGTAATTATTTTTATAATTATGCCTGCTGCTTCAATGAGGGGCTGACGCACGTTAACCCCTTAAGTGGTCATTTTTTTTTACCTAAAATGTTGCAAAAAGACCCTTTTTTATTGCATATAACTAATCATTTAATTTTAAATATTTTCCCACTCTTTTTTTATTTTATAATTGTGGGACACAACCCCCCCTCTAAATATTTTCTTTTTATAAGTACACCCTGCATGCTATGAAGAATGTTTCATATATATTAGAAGAATTTCTCCCATACTAATAAAGAAAATTTCATATTCGTACATTTTTTCAAACAGTTGAATATTTTGTGTGTGCATATATATATACACACACACAGTTTAAAGAATTGTGCAAAACGAAGACTTACATAATAATGGAAACAGATATAATATCGTCGTTTTTGGATTAGCTTTCCATTTTCATTTCTTTTCAAGGAACAAACTACATATTGTCTTGCCAATCAGTGTTCTTTATGGAATATTTTCAAAACTCTAAATTCCTGCCTTCAATGAGAAAAATTTCCACCTTCACCTCAATGAAAAACCCCAGATTAGAAGTATTTTGGTACCATGGACAAACTGCATCTCTTAAAAATACTAGCACCAACTAATCTCATAATAAAAATTAAAAATACGCGCTATTCAAAGACAGAAAAAAAATATCAATGCCCGTACAGAGAACGGTCAAACCGGTCAAGGGGTTAGATCGACTGAGATTCAAGCTCATCTCATTGGCATGATGCAGAAGTTTGGAGAGGGGGTGTCAGCTCAGATGCCTTCCTGATTCCTGGACCGTGGTTCAAAATTACGAGGTCCATCGCCAATAGTGGCCGTGGTAGCCAAGTGGTCAAGGTATCGGATTATGGCTAGAGTGTCATGAGTTCCAGCCTAGTACCACTGAACACCCTATGTATAGGAAAGCGATGCACGTTAAATCTGTCGAGAGCTCAAACGACCACCCGTTGGTGTGGTGTGGTAGTTAGGAGAGGAGGTGCCAGCTCAGGTGTCGTCAGCTTCACTTGACCATGGCTGAAAATTCCGCGGTCCCTCGCCAAAGGCCCTCGTGTATAGCTAACCAATGCGACGTTAATATTCACTCACTCACCCATCGCCAGTAGTCCTCGTGTTGTATCAAAGAGCACGATTTAATTATATAAAGTTGAATCAAAAGAACATAAATCTTACCATAAATTTAATTGGAATTGCAAAGAAATGCTCGTGAACAATCGAAACTTTGAAATATTCCAAATAGTAAGTTTTATTATTACAGTATAGAGACTTATTTGTCCAAATGAAATTTAATGACATATTATTGAATTTAATCTTCATTCATATATTTGTATACATATTATTTTGTTTTTGTCAAAAGTGGAATGATAACCACCAGTTTTTCAATTCCTACTATTAGTTCAATCTCGTCTTATCTATCTCTATATATCTATATCTATATAGCCATCTATCTATTTATCTTGTTCAAATTTTCAATTCCTCCATTCAAGTTCAAATATATTTTTTTAAACTTGTAGTGGATGACACTTGATGTTACTATAGTTTTTTCAAATGTTAATTCATTAATTAAATTAAAAATGAATAAACGGCAAAAAATAAAAATAATAGTCCAACGATAATATATAGAAAGGAAAATCGCTTATTGTGTCCCTGTAGCGCAATGGATAGCGCATTGAACTTCTAATCGAAGGTCGTGGATTCGAATCCCATCTGGGATTGACTAATTTCTGAAAATGTGATTTCTTTTTTTACCATACTATTTTATTAGAATAATTAAATTTAATTAGTGAATAAATTGTATAACAAACAAAAAATAGTCCAACACCATATATAGAAAGGAAAAGGGAAAATTGCAAGGAAAATGACTTTCTATTTTGTCACTTAATTTTGTGATTCTGTCATACGTATATATATATTTATATTAATTGTTGTTGTTACTAATGCCACCTGTCTGAAGTAGTCAGATCGAGGCCTACGAAATTCATTATGGCATTGGGCTATATTGTACACCTATCGTTAGCCTAAGCTTTGAGCTCCCATGCAGGTGACAGAACGAATTTGCTCATACAACAGGTTAGATGTCGACACCATTCGGACCCCCTGATTATCGAGCACGTTCTGTGTACTCGGCGGGTATTTGGTGTCATCGGGCATCAAACCCAGGCTTTCCGGTCTGGAGTCCGATGCTCTAACCACTAAGCTACCCACGGCCCTATATTAATTGTACAGCTATTTAATTAAAAGTAACTAAAATAAAATTTTTCTTTGTTGACCTAAGTATATATAGGAAGTGACTTAATTTTTTTTTATTTTTATTACTTATTTTGTACGTTATTGATAATGAACGAAGTGCGAAGATATCAAAATAAAATCATTGGTATCCATTGCATATATGTGTATTCCTGAGTTTGTAACTTACTGACACTATTTAGAAATCATTTTAGGAAAGTTCGTTTTAGAATTTGTTGTCAACACTAAAAAAACTTCTCACGTAGAATACGCTTTTGAATAAGAGTACAAGAAAATTCTAAAAAAAGAACTTATATTAAAGGGAAGAGCATGTTTTGAATTATATAAATATTTTTCTACAAAAAAGTATGATTTATTTTTTCCTATCATTTTATACGGTAGTTTATTTTTGCAAAAAATCAAAAATATTCTCCAAAATACGTGTTCGGTATTTTTGAAAAAAATATCAAATAGGAATATTTTTTTTCTTCATGTTGTTCTCATTTTAAATGATATTCATGGGTTAAGAGCATTTAAGAAAGGAATCTAGAATTAATGTCCAAATAAAAAAATTAGTTGATATTTCAAGTAAATGAATGTAGGTTCGATAATTTCCTTTCACTAAAAGAACGTGGTGCACAGTTATAAAAAAACAATGAAATATTTGGTTGAACTAATTATAATTTTTAAGAAAATAAAGGTTATGCTACTTAATTTTGCCAGACTACTAATGACTGTTTTGTATTTCTTATATAAGTGTAGAATAATTACAAATAATATAAATTATGCCATTTATTAATATAAATAGCTACACGGGCGTTATGGAAGGCAATACATTTCTTTCTAGAATGGCATTCTGAGATTTAAATTTGATTTTGTTAATCACTTAGAAAGGTTATATTTTGTTCTATTAGTTTTCTTTCTTCTACAGAAAATTTCTTGAATTTGTGAAGGAATATATTTTGAGAAAGGAAATACTGTCGACTCTGGCTAATTCAAACCTTCGATAATACGAACCTCTCACTAATTAGAAATATATTCTTAGCCCCTAGAAAAACTCTTGATATTTCGAACTAAGCAATACGTTTTGGTACACTCAATATTTCAAAGTAAAATCTGTGGCTGGCCAGAATACAACACACTATAATTCGAAATGATCTAATAAAACTCTCGACAATTCAAACACTCACTATCATTTAGAGTCCTGAAGCAAACAGAGTGGAGCTTACATGTTTTGTGTTGTATCTGCTTGTCTCCCCTGTAACGTAACCCCTTTGATGATCATCGGTGTTGACTTCGATAACTCTGACAGAAGCTAAAGTGTCACTAAACAAATTATGCAACTTTTCCCTTCAAAATCATATGACGCGGACGTTTTTCAATCTTCTTTTATTTTTAAAAATTCTATTGACCAAGTTATATTGAATGCCATTAAACTAAAACAAAACAAAAATAAATAATGGATTTTTTCGTCAAAAAAATTAATTATGTACATTATGTATTATTTTAATAGTTGTTTTTAATACATAAATGTATTCTTTTAATACAGGAGACTTTTAACATATGTATAATATTTATACTGTATATATAATAAGTACTTTTAAAAACACTTCAAAATAATTTTACACATATGTACAATTGTTGTTTTATTACATAGTTTCAAATTTAAATATGTTAGAAAAAAATTTGTCTTCGTGTATTTTAGGAGTTTTTTCCTACCCTCTTGATAAGTTTTTCATTGGTCCCTTCAACTTCGAATTATCAAGAGTCGACTACACACACACACACACACACACCACACACACACACACACACACACACACACACACACCACACACACCACACACACACACACACACACACACACACACACACACACACACATTCCTACTTTTTAAAAATATATATATATACTTAAGTTTTCAAAGATATATTCCTATTATAATGAAAATTTAACTAATCATTACTGTAACTGACGTGGATTCAATATAGGAGAAGCTGGATTTAGGATAATTGCTAAATCCTGAATTAATTTAGTTGAAGTTTCATTTGCATATTGTTTCTCTTAATTATCTATCGGTTTACTATACGTAGAAGGGCTTATTTCGGTATGCCTGAAATTCAGAATTTGTAAATTAATTAGTTAATTAAAAAATTCTTTAATTCTTAAACCATTATCTGTAAATGTCTGGCTTCTCAAAATTCGTAAGTTACTTTACTTTTAATTTAAATTTTAGGTTCTGTAATTAATTTCAGACTTCAAAACACAAATTAGTGAAAACCATTGATTATTCACATGCGATCTTACTTTTTCTCATTTCATTTCATGAAAATTTTCATCTCTCGTGAAAATATACTTATGCATGTATATTTTAGGGTAAGAAACATATTTCGCACAGATATTTTTAACACTTTTCGTTCTAATTATTCTAAATGTTCTATTTATTTTAAATGTATACAATGAAAATCAAATGATATTTAAAATTCACATTTCATTTAAGTATTTTTGTTCATTGAACAGTTAAATTTAAAATGTTTGTTTCGGTAAAATAGTATTTATCATTGAAGTTGTTAACACTATTTAAATAAGTATACAATGAAAATCAAATGATATTTAAAATTCACATTTCATTTAAGTATTTTTGTTCATTGAACAGTTAAATTTAAAATGTCTGTTTTGGAAAAACAATATTTATTATTGAAGCTGTTAACACTTTTTAAATAAGTATAGAGATTAAAATATAATGTTGTAGAATTCACCCTTATAAAAAACTCTAAATAAATACCTATCACAGAATTTGCTTACATAAAAGTAGTGGAACAAATTCGCTCATGTTTTTATCACTTACCAAAAGCAAGAGAAAGCACATTTTACTTGCATAAAACCAGCTCTTTACTGGAAATGTTTTAATTCTAATCAGTTGGATTCCAAGTTAATTAAGCATAACATCACGACACACGTAATTCTCGATATCTAGTGATGAGGAACAGAGGTTGAAATGGGTTCTGATAGGTAAAATGCGTGATTCTGTAAGTTGATTAGCAATGATCTTTTCGAACACTGGAGATTCGGTTACCACCAATGTGGGTTGGTACTTTGATTTCACCATTTTGCTTCTTTTAGCTTAAATGTACTGTCACTCTCAAGGGATTACATACTATGCAGGGATAAACATAGGGAAAATTATTTGACTTTACTCAAATTATATTCCAAAATAAGTAAAATTCAAAAATGATTATTAAAGTGCATTATTATATTTTTTCTGATTAATAGTTTTTATTCGATATATATCAATTTGTAAAATATTTACAGTGTAAAATGCTAAGGTAAAATTTTTTCATTTACTTGGAAAAATTTGTAAGATAATAAGGTAAATTATTTGTGTAGTTTATGGTTAATATTTACGAATAAATGTAATTGAAGACTTCTTCAAGGACTGAAATATATTTTATAATATGAACAGTTTTCAATTCGAAGGATTTTAACACAATTAGTTATATTAATCAGATATCATGTCTATCCAGAGAAAAGATAATTTACATATATATTGGCATAAAACTACTAATTATAGTAAAATACTATATAAATGCATGTATTAAAAACTGATTATAATAAACGAGAAAATTTAAAGTATGTTACTTATTACAGCGTTAAACTCGCTGTCCGCGGGCCACATGCGGCCCACAATGAGCCTTCTTGCGGCTCGGCCCGTACATCGGAACACAATAATATATAATAATAAATCAAAATTTCTCCCGAAATAAGAAAGACAGTTGTAGAGAAAAGATGTCAAGTTTCAGGACGTAAACATGAATTTTTTCTTGTTCTTTTATGTATGTTTAGTATAATCGATTATTCGAAAGATACTTACGTTTCATAGATTATTGATTCTTTTGCGGGCAGCCTAAAGTTAAGCCTTGTTTGTTTGGTCCAAGTTAGCCTTTGAGTTTGACACCCTTGTATTACAGGAAAAACGTGTTTTTAACATGCAATTTTCATAATATATTTTAGTATTGTATACTACGTATTAATTACGAAAAAAAAAACACATTTCAAACAGTATAAAGTGCGGATAAAAATATTTTTTTAGAAAATATGCTTGGAATTGAAACGTATTTGTAAGAGCTTCAGATGTTTTATGTATTAAAATGATATGAAGGAAGAAAAGGACTTAGATTACATTCTGGGAAACAACGAAACCCTCTTTAAATTTCTTAACGAATCTAAAATATACAAACCGAATGCGTTAATTTCTGTAACGCTAATTATTCAGAGTATTGAATTAAAATTTCTCTAAACCACATCTTTATATATTTATATAAAGATTTAATATTTTAAAAATTTTCTTTAAAGTTATTTGTACTCTTTTCAAGGTATATATTTTAATATATAAAACCTTTAAATCAATCAGTTTGAAAAAAATAAATGTAGAAAACAAATTTATTTCCAAAAAGTAAATTTAATAAACAAACTTTATATAAATTCATT